TGAACTCCTAAAGTCACTGATAGATGAACACTAAAGGAACCACACAAGCACAACCTTGAGAAGGTTCACACAGAACTGCATAACTGGTAAAAACAAGAAAAACAAGGTTATCTATGTTTATCAGTCTTATGGGAAAGAGCAATCTTATTATGGAAAATTTGAAAGGTACTGTGAGACTCAGAGGAAAGACCAGCATCTGGAAAAACCCACAGTCAATGCCAGTGACTGTCTAAAGGCCCTATGGTGTGGGTATGGATATTGGACTTATTTAAGGCCCATGCTATTCTTTAAGGGATTGGTGAATGTGAGTGTGCTTGTGCATCAAGGGAGTGAGGGTGTTCATAGTTCTGCTAGCAAATATCAACCCTAATCAGCCAACAAGGAGTAAACTTGTGCTGCCTGTGCTGTTCATGTTTATGCAAGTGCTGCCTGCATTTAACTTTTCTGCGCCTCTTGATTTGTAGCTACCCATGCGTGTATTGTGCTAGGGCTGGGTCTGTAACCTGCAGCAGCCTCCATCTAACAGACCTGCAGAGGAAACCTCCTAAGTTGAAATCCAAGGGATCTGGCTTCCCTTACCAGTCTGCAATCTTCCATTTTCAAGAATGAATGTTCATCAGAAAGTTACTGAATAAATTCTCTGGGGCAAGTATACTGAAACTGCAAGTTACTTATTTTATAAAAGTCTTTCCATAGAGTCCAGTATGAAGAATTTCCACTCTTAGACTTGGAAATAGTTAATGAAGTAATACTATTTGGGAGAGCGAATATATGTAGGGTGGAATATCACAGTGTATCCTTCTCATTAAAACCATCTTCCAAGGAGACATGGAACTAATGCAACTTGCAGTATCAGGCCCCTGAAGAGAGCCTCAACTTGTTTACTACTAATACTGCCCAAATAAAATAAAATAAAAATACTTCTAGACATCTTCTCATGTTCACATCGTATCTTACTTGTGGGAAAGCAAGGTAAGAAATAAGGCTTCATTTTTCCTTCAGCATCAATGGGCACTTTTCTAAGCTTGAATTAGTATACAGAAAGTTATTAAGAAGTAAGATTAATCCCTCTCTGCCACTATTCTCCTCCTAACAGCAGTGCATTTTCAGTTAAAAACTTTAAAAATGGAGTGCAAAAATATGTTCTGAATACTTTATTAACTTCTCCCTTTATTGTTGTTTGTAACATTTTACACATTTCAAAAGAGCTCAAATCTATAGCTCTCACTGGACTGTCATTAAATATCCATTAATGCAGAGTTCTTTTCACATCATCTTGATCAGTGTTACTGCCCTTTCTCTTGTGCTCAACTACTAAAATTTACTTAGCTTCCAAAACTTCAATAAGCAGTAATTACATCACAATTATACTTCAGATTTTATTTATTTTTATCCATCTGATTTTCAAGTTTTCTGCATTTGCAGAGGAAGGAATGGATAACGCAACGCGAGACTCATGAAGGAAACCTAATTATAGTGTAAAAGCTTTGCAAGTTTCCACAAGCCTTAAGGCACTGCAACACATATCTCATCTAATCCCAGCATCTCATGAATGCACCAAAACATTTTTCTGATCATACTGAAAACTGTGCTCATTTAAATGACATTCACAAAGCAATGGTCTGTGGATACTTTCTGAATAGTTTTGCTCTTCGTCAGAAATAGTTTCACAAGGAAAGTTTGTATTAAGCTTACTGGTCATACTCACCTAAAAAAAAACCAACCTATTTTGCAAGTTTTGATTTTAAATTGTTCAATTTTTTCCCCAAAGATCTTTAATCTTCAAGATTATACTAAGGAAAGCACAAAAGAGGGATTCTCAGTGGAAGATGACCTATAAAATGACAAGCTTTATAAAAACACTGCTTTTTCTACATCCACTCAGAATCTAAATAACAATCTGAGCCATGTGTAAAATAAAAACCACTGGATGAAACAACATATGCTTTCATAGAATAACAAAATAATTTATGGAAGGCTAAGTCACCATTTTAAAACCAATGTAGAGACTGCAGGTATTAGTATATATTCCGTTTCAGAGGACTTCTTGATTACTGAGGTACCATGCAGCAGACTTCTACATTCAGTTTATACAGAATAAAAAAGCATTTGTCTCCAGGTCTTCTAATCTACCTATATAGGAACTTTAACAGAGTTAGCATGTTCCAAAAATGGATTTAAAGAAAAAATAGAAACCACCAATCACATCACTGAGATGCAAGACAAGGATTCAAACTCAACTAAGTATCTGCTGCTGAGTGATATCTTTCGGGAACGGAAACGTTATGAGGCAGGAGAATTTTTAAATACTGTTGGGAAATCACTGTGAAAGTGGCCAAATAATTCCTTTTTACTGTGAGGCAGTTCAAATTTTTCTCTAGAATTCTTTTATTAATGAAGGCCCGATGACTTGCTCCACTGACAATGCAATAAATACTCAAAAACTACCAGTAAGAAACCAGTGGCTGAAATGGCTAAAATAATGTTTATCTATGACACTTACTATGATTTCTAAATTATGCCATAGAACTTCTCCCTTAATGTGAATTTAACTAATTAGACATTTTGTGTTAAGAAAAAAATTGAATAATATCTGCCCCACGTAGTAACAACATAGCTTCTTCATGGGTCATTGGGAGACTGGATTTTCTGACCGTTAGACCAGCTTAACGTGACCCAACAAAAAGGAGGTTGTGCTTTTCTCTGCTTGGATGAGACAAAAGAGCAGGTCTTGACATATTTTCCCAGCTGTTACTATTACAGTTATTTCCTAAGCAGCAACAGCTGACCACCAAGAATCCCAGACATAAAGGATGACTTAGTAATAAGGTAGAGTAACGTCAATCTGTGTGGCATCCTTACCCTATAAAATCTATATTATTTAATCCACAAAATTAATTGGTATCTCAAACTTTTTCTGAAGTGAGGTGGAGGGTGATATTTAAACATAAGCTTAGATAGACAACAGGGAGGCAAATGAGATTCTACCCAAGTAAATCCTGAACTCCTACCTATCACCTTCCTGCCCCTTCTTTTCCTTTCAAGCTTCGTCTACTTTTCATTTGGATATTAAGATACTAAACTGTTTGCAAGACCATTTCAAAAATTAAATGACAATCAGAAAACTGATATTTCATCATCTACAGAGAATTTACCATATGAAGTATTTTTCACCTCAAATTGTTAAGCCATAAATAAAAAATCTGAACATGCATACAATGACCAAATGCAGTAAGACAGCCCTAAAAACTAGGCACACTTTCACAGTAGCTCAGTACCTCCATCAGAAGACTTTTTTTTTTAAATATATTTCCTTCTTTTTGACATACTACATTCATTTCATAAAGGATAATAATTAGATGTAATGTGAAGCACATTCATGCAGTCAGGTAAGTTACAAGAAACTTGACGCTCCATAATTACAAAAAACCCCCATGATATTGATGTTGTGGCCAGTCCTGTTCATTTTGCCCACCTCACTTTTCAAAAGAAGCATTCTCTTTTCATGTTATCTCCACAGTTGAAATATTTTTTAAAATGCAGGTAAATATCTAGTCAATGTAATTCGTTCTCCTCAGCATTACAACTATGAAGCTGTGTTAACAGACCAACTGATGAAGTATTTAATCATTGAAGTCTGATGTCAAACATACAACAGCATCACTCAAAGTATATGAATTTACCAGTGAATAGCAGATTGATTAGAGAGTAATAAATAAGTCTCTCCTTCCTTATTTATGAAGCTGCATTCTTGAAATCTGAAATCATTGCTTTCTGTGAAAGTGACTACAATTTCACCTATAGCATAGGAAAACATTATTTCTTTGCAGATACTTTCAAACACAGCACTTCACTAAAGAAGAGGCGAGATTTTTTTTTTTTAGCTGTCAAATGACTATAACAGGACTATAGTAATATACTTTAAAATTAAATGTGTGAAGTATGCTTTGACTCTACCTGGAATACTTCAGTGCCCAAATGTAACTTGAAGTTTCACAAATCCCCTCCAAATTATTTTGTTCAAATACAAACCTTAACAAGCACTACAACATCTAGCACTACTCACTAGCAATAAGTGGATAAAGTCAAACTGGATTTAAAAAAAAAATAAATTTAAAAATCAGCATCTTCAGAGCAGGACAATAAAACATTTTTTTAACGCTTTGGAAATTAGAAGCTTTAAGTGTAAAACAGGCCTTTAATAACACATAGTCCTGGGATCTCATATTTATCTGTTATCTGGAGAAATCCAAATCCTTCTCACAATGACTAACAGAATGATCCTTGAACTCAAAGACATCCAGATGTGTTCCATATGACTGGTGCATGACAAAGACAGAAAACTCTGCTTTGGTCCATGACAAATAATACAGAAGCAGCTTGCAAACTTATGGTATGAAATTTAAACTTTTTTAAATGCCAGAGAGAAGCCATACTACAGATACTAAAGTTTTCAAATACAGCCAAAAATTATATAACATTATTTGATTAATACATGAAATAAATTCTGACAGTCCTAATACACTGACACAAAAAGTTAGCACTTTTGCCTACCTGAAATGTAATACTTAATGCTGAGCAAGTGGTATTCTGAAGACATTTCAGAGACACTCCTTCACTTCCCTTTTCCTCTAAACATCTTCAGCATTTTTTAGAGCATGTATGCCAAACATCACTTTGTTTTTGTGAAACAAACCCTTCCACTGAATGTTGCTTTAAAAAAAAAAATTTATGTTCCCACTAAACTCTTACCAAATTTTGAAGTTGTAAATAAAGCTCCACTGTTACCAACAATTGGCAATGCATAAAGCCTTGTTATCCAGCTACTTATGTCCCAACGGTCTTCATGTGTGCAATGTAGTCTTGAAAAAAAACAAGGAATTTAAATGAACTTGTACTGCCCTTATTTCACACTATATTTCAGTGTTTTTCCTCACTGAGCAATCCATATCACAGTATATATATCTGCACTTCAGTAACTGAGGTAGAAATCAACTTACCCGATGTTTTTCCTTTACTTTCTTCCTGTATTCTTCTTTGTCAAATTTGTCTTCTTCCTGCAGTATTTCTTTAGCTTTATCTAAGTTGATACCACTGGCATCATCTTCCTCATCTGCTTTCGCCAAACTGGATTTTTGCACCGGTGGCCACTGCTGCACTAGCTAAATTGTACATGTCAACAAGAAGATTAATGGTTAGAATAATTTCTTTCCACATCAAAGTTTTGATGCCCTAATTATTCCAATACATTCTTTTTCTAGACTAAATAAAAAGGCCATTTGCAAAGGAAACAAACACAACTTTTGCACAGTACAAACCTGGATACCTTATTTAGCATCATATTCAACCAAAAATGAGTATTTGAAAATAATGTCTCCATTACACTATATTACTGTTTAATGGATTCAGTTAAACTTCTTCCCCTATTTTTCTCTCTTTGACTAATAAAACAAATAATTTATAATCCTGCTAGTCATTTTGGGAGAAAAATCATATTTGGTTTCAAGAAATGACTCTCCAAAATACATGCAACAGAACAAAATACTAGTAATACTGATCAGTATGTTTTAATGTAAACAATCAATATTCCAATATACTAACTGTGAGAAAAATGAGATAAGCCTTCATCACACAGTACATGAAAAATCATGACTGCAGGTCCATGTTCCAGGGGAAGCAAGGAGAACAGATGTGAAGGGTTTCACTGGTTATCTTATGACCTAACAGCTTATACCTTTTGGTACGAGCAGACATTATCTGGGAGTAGTCTTTGAAAAATCACTCTTGCTTATGGATTGGTAGAGTAGTTAACTCTTAAAAAGAAACTATATGGCAGAAAATACAGAATGTCTTTCTGATACAAATGCAAAACCCAACATGTTTAGGACTCCCTAATGCACACAGGTTGTTAGTCACCTGTATACTGGTAAACCCAGTCTACTGTTTCCACTTTCTTTATGTAAAATGGAGCTTGTGTACTTGTATTTTCCAGAAAGATACATTTCTCAAGGGAGTTTTATTTTATCAAAGAGAAGCATGTGGAGTAGGAAAGTAAGACTTTAAAGTTTAAAAAAAAAAAAAAAAAAAAAAGCAGGAATAGCATCCATAGATGCAAACTTTGTTTCCTTAAATAAGTCATCTCTTCTCTATTGTGCTACTTTTCTAACTATAATTTTTCTGCTAATATTTTTCCATCCTCACTCCTTTTTGATTCATTTCATAGATACATAAAACATCTGCATATATATTTTAAGATGACACAACAGCTTTTAAATATCTAAAAGTATCTGAAAACACAATTTCCAGTCAATGGGTCAACCTTAAAAACCTTTTACATTTTGTCAGTCAGTAATTATGTGGCTATACTCCCTTCACCTGCAATATAAAATGCTTTATTTTATTTGGTCACAAAAGCAAATTATATACTTGTAAAGGTGACCTCTCGTTCAGTTTATGCCTTACTGAAATTAGAGTTTTAAAAAGCTACTTTTTTCTTAGTGCTGGAAATGAAAAAACAACGTATACAATATCTGAAGCTGTGAAATCAAATGTTAGAAAAGTTTATGAAGCATAGAGACTTGCTTGTGAGGTTATCGTCACAATGAAACCCTAGAGTGACTAGGATCCCCTATAGTTCCTTTTGGCATAAAATCAATACATATAAGTTACTGGCAAATTACAATGTACTGCTACATCAGCACCATTAGGCAAAGACTGGGTACTTTCTTAGCTTTTCTAACAAAACTTTTAATCTAGAAATAGTGAATGCTATAAAGAAAACCCGGGACTTCTTTTAATTCCAGTACATTAATTGAAGACTTGTGGGAGCTTTGGCAAATACCTACAGGAAAACTGCTTTACATTTCTATAAGGAAAAGGTAGGCTCTTGATTCCACCTGAAATTAAAAATAATAGGCAGAAAAGAGGTACGGTTCTGTACATCTGTGAACAGCTCTAATACAAGTATTTCACACATACAAAGGTGAAGCGAGATCAGTGCTCAGCATTCCTCTTTGTCCCCAGTGGAACTGAATTCTAAATGGAAGCTGAACAGTTTTGCAAAACTTAAACCAATTACAAAAAACACACAATTTTGAAAACTGTATCTTTTTATACAGATATAAAGTATAAATATTTTTGTCTTTATAGAAACTACAAATTCAGTTCCCACCAAAATAATGTTGTTTTGAATTGATCTTACCTCTCCATCTTCAGTAAAGACTATTTTTGTGTTGACTTTAAATTTCTTCTTCAAGATTTTTTTGGCTTCCTGGGTTTTAGTTGTTTTTTTCTTCAATTTTGATGTATTCTGCGTAAAAGAAATTAGATTTCTTATGGGTTTTTTTTTCTAGTCACAGAGTATATGCTTCAAAATTTCTTAAAATCAATTAGATGTATTAAAATGTAATTCCTAAAACCCATGAGTAATTTCCAGTAAAAATGAGCTAACACATCTTTTCATAAAAGTGTTTTAAGAGGCCATATCATGAGGAACTCATTTACTCTGATAAGCATTCAGCATAACTTAAATCTTGTCAGCAGCAGGACACCTGACTCATTCAAATCTCACTAACCTTCTTGGGACAAGGACAGTAGATTCACCAGCTTATGCTATTAGCAAGATTCATCAGTCAAGAAATCCAGTATAACTGACTGAAGCCATTAACTGACCAGATACCACTTTCATCTCACTTGTCATCACATTGTCCCCAAGCACCACAGCACACCATTTTTAGTTATTTCTGTGTCAACGAAGGGCACAAGTGGCCATGCAAGAACCTTCCTATTTTCTAACTATTGTCCCTTGCAGTCTCATCAGGGTGCAGCACTAGGAGATGTTTACCAAACTTAGCATTAAACAACATTTAGAATCACAAAATTTATTAGCATAGGAAAAAAGTTGTAGTGAAACAAAGTGGTAAAGACACCAGGAAAACTAATAAATGAGTCAGCAGAGATTGTGAAATCCAGACATTAACACCGTTTCCAACAGGCTGAGATTGTTCTTTCCTGGCTACCACTGAGAAAGCAACACTGACCAGAAAAAGCAAATATTATCAGCTGCACAGTATCCCTGTATAAAACACACTGATACTGAAATTACATTTATTTTCTGTATGCGCAACCTTGTTATTATCAAGAAGAGGTCACTTGTATTTTTGACAGAGATTGATGATTTATCCAGAGTATTTTCACATTTCAGAGGCAGCTGGCAACTCTGGGAGGACCGTTTTAATTACTTCTGTAAAATGCAGTGGAAAATAAATTGTCACATCCATAGATGGCCTGCGTAAGTTTCACAGAGCCACCTATCTGGTGGAAACATCACGAAACCAAAGAACATGGAGCTTCCCAGTCTCCACCTCTTTTGAGAGCTCTGCTTTCAAGAACAAAGGCCGTATGTGTTCAGGCGTCTAGCGGGACACAACATACGTAAAGGACAATTTAAAAAATAACTGCCACTATGGAAAGTATTTTATAGCAAAAAATATTCCATAGGAATATGTGGAAATTCCATAGGAAGAGACCCACAACTCAGGCATCATCCTGTAAAGACTGCAAAGCTCCACTATTCAGGAAAAAGTACCTGAAAAACAGCCACTAAAGTGTCAAAACTTCTGATAAATAATAGAAACTGGTCAAAGCACAAAAAGAGAAAAAGAAAAAAATGAAAATCTTTTTCTCACTTTTTTATTTTGGTCCTTTTAATCAGTTTCATGTTCTATAACAAAACCAGTATAAAAGGGGAAAAAAAATTAACTCACAGTTACTACCATTATGGTCAGCACACTAATGCACTGAGATATGAACTATAAAAGAGAAAAATTACAGTCTTCCTAACAAGAAAAATGGTTTGTGACAGCTACTGCATTGTGTTATCAAGTAATGACCGTATCTATTATAGAAAATAACAACTGTAGAAGCACTTATGTCCTCAGTATTGTCATGATTTTTGTTGCACTGTGCAGCTACTACTACTTAGGCACATCTTTAACAGCTCAGAAAGCTGTGCTACTCCCTCACTCCTGCTGCTTATCCTGCAAACACAGACTGTTTGAGAGTCTGCATAAGCATAAACCCCTTACCTTACCTCGAAATATGGACTAGTTAGAATAACAGGAATTGTCCAGAGGAAGAATATAAAGATATACTTCAAGGTGGTAAGATGGTACTTCTCACTACCACATTTTCTGTCACCAGTTGCTTCTGGTTTTGTTTCTTTCTTTTTGGGTTGCCCCCATAATATTGTAAAATTATATTTAAATGTGAATCTCAACTGTTTCCTGAGAATACTTGGTTTTAAAAAAAGTTTTCCTGGCTAGAGCACAAATATCCAATGGGCTGTCTTTGCATGCATACATAGGCAATATTTCCAGTTGTACCTCGACTTCACTGTTCCAGTTATATATGACTTCACTGTTCAGCAGGAGAAGTGGTGCAGCACAGGAGGGAGGTTGGGTGGGTTAGTGGGTGGTGCTTGACATGGCCTCCCTGCCCCAAGGGGAAGGCTACATGGTCCAGGAGAAGACTCAGGCAGGTGAGCCATGGGGTGTATATAGTCCTGGGGCTACCATGGGGTCCCATAAATGCTGCTTTGTTCCTCTCCTGGAGACCTCTCTCACACTGTCCCTATATAGTCCTAAAATCTCTCTCTTCTGACACCTAAGTCTCTCCCTCCATATGTCTCTAGTAGAGTATTTCAGAGCTCTCCTGACCCAGTGGCTGATGCTCTATCTTGAACATATCTGAGCCAGGAGTTCCTCCAAATGGTTGCAGTCTTGACACAGGATAAACTGTTTACATCTGTCTCAGCTGATGGCCTCCTCCCCCACCCATGCTACCCCACTTACCCAAATACTTAATGTCCTCACCAAAATTTCTACTGCCACTGTCTCTCTTTGCTTTGACCCCACATTTGAATGGCTACACTAAAACATCAGTTTCCCCTCAAGCAGGAATCTGATTCATCCATTCAAAGAAGCATAACACCAACGGATAGCAGACCTCAGGCTTTCCTAATCTGCAGCACGAGCCCCCAGTTCCCTGTGTTTTCAAGCCATTCTGTTTACTCATTTCCCATTTTCACCTTCTGTACTAGAAGATACCTGACAATTTATGAGCAGCAGGTTGGCATTTAACCCACATTCTCCCTGGCTTCATCTCTTTCCCTCACAATGTGTTCAGCCCACCAGCAGACACCAGCTGCTGGAGGCTGCCAGAAGATCTCTACCTGTTAACCTCAAGTGCTGCAAAGAATACGTTACAGAAGCAATGACTCCTCTCTAACTCCTCAGTAAACAGCTGAAATCTGGGCTCACAGGCTTTGCAGGCAGAAGCATGGTCACATCAGCAGACATGAGTGAATGGAGGACTTTTTGCTGAAAACCAGACCTTGTCCCTAATGGCAGAGCAAGCCATGGGGCTGGGCACTTTAAAGTGAGTTGAGAGGGCATAGCAGCTCCGCACACTGACTGCCTCACTCAGAAAACACTGTGTATCAGAACCTGCTCAACTAAGATCTGCATCAGTAAATCCATTTCTAAAGATGAATTATACCATCAAATAAGCTGTTGATCTGAAAAAAGTGAGCATGTGTGATCTGGGCACAGGTCTTCATGTTGCTGTTAAGATATCAAAGGGATTCTATGGTTGAACTCCAGTTGGTAATCCAAGTTAAAGCACCAGACAGTGAATGCACACTTCCCTCAATGAGAAGCAGCTACCTGCTGCTCAACAGCACATACATTTTGCCATACGCCCAATAAAATGGGCCCTAAAGTCTCACCTTTTCTTCTATGAAGATGTGGCACTTAAAATGATCAAACAAGACCAGAGTGATAATCAACCTCTTCAAAATGGTATGTTACAGTTAAGCACTAGAAGTTAAAAAGTCATGCAAGTTTATAAAAATTTTATAATACATAGGCTCAGCTGCAGGGTTGGGGAATTTTCTGTTGTTACTAATCAAAAGCCTGAATTTCTTCTTCCTTTCGCACATGCCAGATGGCTTGCTGGATTATTTAATGAGTTAGAATAAAAACTAGCTCTTAGAAGCACAGAAAATTCAAACATTTTGAGATATAATCAGAAACAATACAGCTAATACACAAGTTCTCATATTCTCAAGAAGGAGAAGGCTTTTGTTTTCTGGCTGAAAAGATCTGATATGCTTAGCTAAATCTATGACAAAGGTTTTCTAAATGAAGACAGACAAGTTTAAGACATAGGATTTACTGGTTTTCAATTATAATTTTTTTCTGAAAGGACAGGGCATCAAAAACACAAGTGTCAGTAAATTTTTGCTATTCTAATATGGACTGATTTTTCTTATTAATACAATTTTAAAAGCCAATATTTTAGACTGAGTATGTAATCCTCAGTAACTTGAGACCAAAACACTTACAGCCTCCTACCATAACCAAGACAAATACATTTGCTTTGACCTTTGGAGTGTTACAAATCATCAAATGCAGAATTTTGTTTCTTTCTTTCTAACTATAATTTTCTTTTTAATTTCAACTCAACAAGCCTGTGAAAGCAAGCATAGTGTATTCACTACAGAAACTGTCTAAAGACTGGACTATATTATTGTGGCAGGGTAAAATACCAGTAAGAAAAAGTTACAATCAATTTTCCAGCCACATTAGCTATAACCAGCATTACTGCTTTTCTAGGGGGGCTGTGGGCTTTTTTTCTCCCCCCTGCTTATACCTTACAATTCCTAAGAAGAATGGTGCTGTACCTGGAAATATTTTTCAGTCTCTCCCAACATTATTACATTACATTACCCATAATTCAACAGAACTGCCTCTGAGAAACAAAAATCGATGTGGTACTCAATTTCACACACTTGTTTTGTGTTTCTTCAAGTAACCGCCCACAATAGGAGCCACTATTACGACATTTATGTTATCACCAAGCACATCAATCCCTGTCAAGCTACTGAGTTCAAACTCAGAAATCATTTCTCACAGAATAAGACACACGCTTGCCAGATTGAAGATACCAAATCTTAGACAAAGAGAAGTTCCGACTTCGTCTTCATGCTGTGGAGAGCATACAGACATGGTTTTCATTTGTCAAGCACTAAGAAACTTTCAGAAGACTGAATATCCTCCAACCACTAGTCTAAAGCAGCTCAACCCCATAAACTTCCCAAACTCAGACTATGAGGCGTTGATTACCTCCTGAAAAATATCTAATTGTAGAAGCAGCAGTGAGATACAAACTTCACACCTTTACACCGAGAGAATCAAATTAACCAGACTTTGAAGTCCGGTCCATGGTTACTTCAAGCACCTACAAAAC